AAATCTCAAATGGGCTCACGAAGAGTGTTCACGACTGAACAACAGTCCAATCCCTTCATTTAACACATAAAAAACCTGAGACACAGAAAGGTTAGGTGACCTAGGATCAGAGATCTCAAGTTGGAAATGACTTTAGAGGCCATCTAATAAAATCCCTTCTGTTTACAGATCAGGAAACTGAGGTACATGAAGGTTAAAGGACTTGTCCAAGGTCACATAGGTACTACATTAGAAAAGGACTTCTGACTCCTGAACTAATGTTCTTTCCACTCAACTGGACGGCGTGAAGTCCCTTCCAGCTATGATCCTTTGAGTTAACATCACAAAGGTAGTAAATGGAAGCACTAGAATCGAGAAACAACCTCTGTCTTCAACTCCATTGATCTTTCCACTATATTATACCAGCCTACAACTAGGAAAGTGTATTCTAAGTACACTGAAGAGTACTAAAGGGAAGAGAAGTTCAGATAGGCTGGGTGATACCCTCCTAGTCCTGCCAAGTGTTAAAAATCCTTTGCTACCACCATTTTATATCATTGTTGTTTGTCCTTTGCTCTAGAAGAGAACCATGACATCAGGGAGGTGATGCCATGACACGCAAGTGAATTGGATTTAAGTGAGGGAGGGCTGTGCAAAGTCACCAGCCTCACTCTCTCCTCCGGAGCCATCTGGGTCCAGTGGTGAGATATAGATCAGGAAGACTAGAGATGACCCTGGATACTTATACGAAGTTGATAAACATAGGAGGAGGAGGAAAATACCAACTTTTTTTTTTAAAAGTTAACACAACCTACGTGATCTTGGATATGACACTGAGCTTCCCTAGATCTCAGTTTTCTCCTCTCGAAAATGGGACGATTGTACTACATGGCTTCTGGTGCCCCTCTCAGCTCTAAATCTATGATTTATCACGTGATGTGCTCAAAGGGAGGCTGGAGCCAGCTTGTATATGCTGGGAAAAACCCACTTAAATTCTCAGTGTGAGCAGTTACATCTCAGAGATTTGCAAATACTGTTAAGTCGTGGTGTAAGTCATTGTTTCATTGATTGTCTAGACTTAAGAAAATGTTAATAATCCATATTAAACTTCAAAATGTGTCATGCGTATAGAGGGCTGGTTGTTAAAATTTTACAAGCACACTTTTGTATCTATGCCTGAAGTATTTTGATTAATAGTTCTTGTCCCTTAAAGCAGAAGTTACATCTGTCTGTGTCTGAATAAGTCAGTCCTAATTCTAAACTTGAATAGAATAATTTCCATAAACCTAAAAAGAAGAAGGGAAAAAATGTACCCAAATATTTAGTTCTTTGTTATAAAATATCTAAACCTAATTGTTTAATAAGCAATAGTTAGATATGAAAATAAACATACCTATAGGCTTACTATTTTATATTCATTCAGTGGACTCCCAAAGCTGAGGCAGTTTTTAATCTAAATGTCTGAAATCAAGCTGGGGCTCAGCAGAGATAAGATTAATCAGCATCATTAAGAATGAAAGAAAAACATGATGTCTTGGAAAGTAGGATGACTTCATCCACAGCTGATTGCCTTCTTCTGCTCAGCAAAGAAAAAGAAATTCTATTGCGGCATCTTACCAATGAAATGTTCTCTATTTCACTGCCAGTGTATACCAGCCCAAGCACACTGGTGCTAGAACTCTTTACACTCCACAGTAAACAAGCCCACATTGCAATCATGAGACTGGGCACCATCTTTCTGAACAGATGGGAGTGGGAGGGGGTTGAATGGGGCAGGCAGGCAGGTAAGCAGGTCGTGAAATATAGTTAACAGGAAATGGGTGGCTTTTTCCGCTCTAACACATTGGAAAGACTGTGAGAGGCAAAATCACAGGTTCAAAAGACTATTTGCAAAATTCAACTGAAGACACAACTCAAATACAATGTGTGTATTGTAGATGCAGCCATCTGTCAGCCACCCCCTTCCACAGCAATGATCATTAATCCTTTCATTTGTCAACATTAAAGAACTAACAATGTATAGACTCTGGCACTAAGGCTCCAAAAAACAACTGATCATCTGGGTCTACCTACTTCTTTCCCTCAATGTCCCTGTACTCTATGACCTATTTTCTATATATTCTTTGGAACCCCCCCCCCACTTCTCTGGTCATTAAGATCAGGGTTCAGGTCCTGCTAATGACACGTATTTGCTCTGTGACTTGTAAGGACAAATCAGTCAATCTCTCAGTGCTCTTTGGCAAATCTCTAATATGCTAAATTATACAGGAGTTGCTCAGCTGCATCTGTGGAGAGTATTTCCATGCCAGGAATTCCCTAAACCAAGAAAATCACAGGTTGAAAAAGCAACCACCACCACCACCACCACCACCACACACACGGTAGCACATTGGCTAGAGCACTGAGTTTGGAAGATCTGAGGTCAAATCCAACCTTAGACACTTACTAGTTGTGTGACCCTGGGCAAGTCACTTAACCTCTGTCTGCCTGAGTGTCCTCAACTGTAAAATGAGGGTAGTAATAGCATCTACCTCCTAGGATTGTTGGGAGGATCAAATGAGATAAAATTTGTAAAATGCTTAGCATAGCACCTGACACACAGTAGACCCTTTAATAAATGCTTTTTTTCCCCCTTTCCTTTCTAATAAACCCTGAGTTAATGTTTCTAGATTTTTTTTCTTACCAAGCAACCACCAACAACATAAGGCTGTTGCATCATTCCACCATATTGAAACTTACCTCGCTTACTTATTGAAAGTTCCCCACACTTTTCTCCAAAGAGAATTTCTCAAATAGATTCAGATAAACCAGTTCATGCAATTAAAAAGTACTGCCACTCCCACCCCACCTCCATCCAAGTGTGTGCCTGTGGCTGCTTAAAGCATTGTAAATTAGGCAATCAGGGCTCTGTGTATAAGCGACAGGGTCACCAGCCTTCATTTAGGCCCATGTTTGTGTTGCTTCAGGAAAGTTCTAGAAAATTCTATTTCTATCACTTTGCATATTAGCCCTTTTACTGGTGATGCGTGATTTGTAGTACTCATCTGGCTGCTAATGTCACAAATCTTACAACTTACAACCAGTTTGTTGTGGGTCTCTGTGAAAAGTAAGATAAACCATATGTACATACACAAGTCCTGAAGTAATACGGCTTCATTCAAAGTTATTGGACTAGTGCATGTCTACTAGCTAAATTTTCTGTAAAGAAAAGACAAGTGTTACATATTCACTACATGAGACTGAATATTTAAAAGGATGTAAATAGTATGCATAAACCATTTTAACTACTGCTTCCAACATCCCCAAACAAGACATAGACAGGTAAAATCCAAATGAGAAAACCTAGAGCAGAGTGTAATAGCCCCATACAAAAATTTACAATGATAAAAACCGAAAACAAACAAAAAACCAAAAAAAACCCTTTGTTCTGAAGTGTTATAATGAATATGAAGATTCCTCGATAATATGTGCAATTCAAGTTAGATTAAAATGTAAGCTCCTTGAGTGAGACATTCTTTCATTGTTTCCTTTTGTATTCTCAGTGCCTACCATGGTGTCTAGCACACAAAAGACAACTGATAAACGCTTGTTAATTGTTGTATTATTTTAAACAAAAATTAGCCAAAAATAAATGCCAAAATCAAAGCAACTAAACAAAAACAAAAAATATCTTAAGATTATCAGCAAAATGATTGTTCATTTTTGTTTCTCTTTTAGTATAATTATTTTGCTAACGAGGAAAGGCATAGGAAATGAACAAGGTTTCTGGGACAGAGACTACTGTGGGTAGCAAAGTCCTGTGGTTTTTATGCAGACTAAGTGTGAGAACCTTGCATTAGTCTTGGGCACTTCATGTATTCTGGTGACTGATATCAGGTATAACTTCAGCCCATTATCCTTCCAGTACAGAGGAAAGAACAATGACTTTGCAGGACCTCTGTCACACCCTACTGGGGTGACCTGGAGTAAATCATGAATATCCCTGGGATTCAGGAATGTCCTTCATCTGTAAAATGAGGATTGAACTAGCTCATGTCTGATGTCACTTCCATCTCTAAATCTATGATCCTATGAATCAAACACATTGCGGGAAAGCTATAGTACAGGGGGGAGAAGGAGAAAGAGAACAGAAAAAAAAAATTCTTTAAAAAATAAGTAAGCCCTGTAGGAGTGGGCCAATAAATAATCTACTAATTCCCCAAACCACCAAACTGTCATTTTGGGTCTTGTAAAAGTATCCTATGGTTTGGGTTGGTGTCTTCTTCAGGGCTGCATAGCTATGTAGTAACTCTGCATTGTGGCCACATTGGCATACGATGTGAAGCCTAGTGGTCAACCAAGATATAGGGTTGATTGTTATTGTTCTAAGGCTGGGTTGGGTTGGGTGGGGGAGTAGGAGTGGGAATGGACCTGTGATTTAATCGGTTTGGAGAATATCCAGTGTGGAATCTCCCTCAGTGGGCAGCAGAGAATTGTCTTCAACTTATAGTAGTCTTAGAGTAGGAGTTCGTAAATATTTTTGTGTCATGGACTCTACCCCATGGGCAATCTGGTGAAACCTGTTGACTCCTCAGAATAATGCTTTTAAATGTATAAAATGAAATATAGGTGAAATCAATTATATTGGGATAAAGATGTGTTTTTTTCCCCATTCAAATTCATAAACTGAATGAAGTCTACCTCTTTGGACCCCGGGAGGTCCAAGGACCCAGGTTAAGACCTCCTGTCTTACAGAGTTGGATATGATATCAAGAGGTTAAGAAATTCTATGGCATCTCTCTACCCATTCCAAAGGCCCATGATCATGGTGTTGGAGACAAGACTTGAAGCCAGGTCTTCCTAAAGCCAAGACCAGCCCCCTATCAACTATGTCAATCTGCCTCTCTAAGATGAAGATAAGCTATTGTTTATTTCAAAAGTTCCCCATGAAAATACTTTCCATATAATGAGCAGAAGGGCAAAGTTCTACTTGAAGCAGGCAAATGTCAGACACACCAAGTCACCCTGCACTCGGGCCTTACTTGTTCTCATTGCTTGCATCGTAACGAGGCATTGGGTCAAAATCATTCCCATTCACATCGAAACTTGCTTGAGAGTCCTATAACCAAAAGAAGAGAAAGGGAGAAAAAGAAGATGGATGCTCATTAATTATCCATTAACTGCCGAAGTTTATGCATTCTTTAACAAGATCCTACAAGTGAGTAATTAGGATAACTAACATTCTCGTGGTTGAGCGATGACAGAGTGTTTTAGGAAAGAGTAGTTAATTCAGTAAGAATCAGCAAATCAGCATTCTTGATTTTCCCTTGTACAGGGAGGAGGAACCCTATATAGGCAATCAGAAAAGATATCATGAACAAGTACAAAATTGGAACTGTTTAACTATTTTAAGTGGCTTTTAGAAAAATCCAGTGCCTCTCCTCTCCTTAGAAATCAATTTAGTCTTTTGCCTATCTCAATACCCCCAAATTTAGTTATTTACCATTGCCTTTGTCTGTGTATTCCATTCTCACCAGCAAGTCCTTTTTTTACACCCCTAAGTTGCTTCCTTCTGACAAGTCACTAAGATTTCAATATTTCCAACTTGGTAAAATCCTACCTTTTCAATGTAGTCTTTCTTCCTTGTCAAACAAGAAACAAAGATAAGTTCCTATTGATAGTTTTCCAACTCTCTACATCCTTACCTCATTCTCTGAGGTCAGGAACTCTGTCTTATCTAAAGTTTGTATTTCCCCCGTGGCCTACAATAGTGCTCCCAACACAATAAATGCTTAATAAATGTCTGTTGAACTGAACTAAGCACGCAATTCACTCAACATATTGCAAAGGCTACAAAATCACAAATTAAGGATGTGCCAAATACAGATCACCCATAAATATCCATTAATTTGGGTGTTCTTAGAACCACTACTTGGCAGAATTTATTAACCTAGTTTCAAATATCACAACACTTTAAAAGTAAGAAAAGTAAAGTTCATATACTTTAAGGTAAGAAAATAATTTTCATTTTGAAATCATTTATAATAGCAGCTCTTTTTGTTGTGGCAAAGAATGAGAAATTGAGGAGGTGCTCATCAATTAGAGAATGGGCTAAGCAATTTATGGTATATGAATGTGATGGAACATGACAGTGCTGTAAGAAATGATGGAGGAGATTATTTCAGAGAAACTTGGGAAGATTTGTAGGAGCTGATGCAGAGTGAAGTGAGCAGAACCAAGAGAATAATTTATACAATAACAATAATATTGTAAAGACAAATAACTTTAAAAGACTTGAGAACTCTCATCAATAGAATGACCAATCACAAATACTGAGTACTCATGAAATATGTTACCCACCTCCTGACAGAGAGATGACAGACAGTGTAAAATGAGACACATATGTACATACAGACTCACATGTACATTATATACACACATCCACATACATGCATAGGTGGACATGGAAACTGTGGGCATTTTTTTTTTTGCTTAACTATACATTTTTGTAACAGGGGGTTCGTTTTCTTTCTTTCTCAATGGGAAGGAGAGAAGATGGATTTTCACTGATTAAAAAAAATTTAATCGTAAAAAGCTTGTAATTTAGACATCACAAATTCATGTCATCTTTACCCTCACCCCTCTTACCCTGTCCATTAGTCTAAATTAATAAGGTAATATTATTGGTGACATACTGCATAAGTAAGGTAAAAACAAATTTGAATTTTTTTAAATGACCAAGAATATGTTCTAAATCTAGTGAAATATGGACACCTGGACTTTAGAATAATTCAAATTTCCATCACTAAAGATTACCACTCAACATTTATAAAAGTTATTTTAAACTTTCCTATATATTATAAATATTTCTACTTTAAAATGGTGATAACACAAATAATATGGAATTATATTTTACCTGACTGTACATATATAACCCATATAAACATGCTTACTATTTTAGGGAGGGGGCAGGAAAAAGAAAGAGAAAAATTTGAAACTCAAAATTTTTTTTAAAAAATGAATGTTAAAAATTATCTTTACATGTAATTGGAAAAAAATACTATTTAAAAAATAAAATGGTGAAAATACAACTTTTTTTTTGTTGTTGTTGTAATTTATTGTTTCTGCTATCACCCAAGGCTCTTCCTACTAAAAGTAATTTCTAGCTCACACACCCACTCCTATCCACTTAATTAATTAATGTTGCAACAAGTGACCTGTTGACATGGCAAGTCCTTTTCATGTCTTCAATGTTCAAAGTCATCACTTCCAATGATTACAGAACTACAAGTAATTTACATTGTTCTAAGGGTTCCTCTCAGAGGGAAAAAAAAGAGGGACAAATTAAAGATATTGACCAGATTAGTAAGATTGAGATAAGGTCAGTTGGGAGTCAAAGTGGTATAGCGTGAAGAGTGATGAACTTGGAGTCACAAGACCTTGGACAAGTCACTTCTTTTTCTCTGGGCTTCCATTTTTTCATCTGTAAAATGATATGGGTGGCCCCTTTCTAAGGCCCCTTTCAGCTCTAGGTCTGTGATTCTGTGATATATGACCTTGTCCAAATGAGGCAACAAGATAGAGATGGAATAAACTCTTGTCTGGAGATAAGAAACACTCCTAGGGGAAAAGGTTTCATGTCCTGACTCTATTTTTAATTACCTGCCCAGCTGAAAAGCACTTTCCTGAAGGTATCTAGACTGAGGGTACCTTTGAATCTCTTGGTCTCGGTTTCCTTACCTATAACATGAACGGGTTGTACTAAATGTGTTCTTGTTTAAAAAGATGGAGAATGGAATAAGTATGTCTGGAGGGGCCTGAACTAGACGATTTTCTGTCCCTTTCTTCCTCAAAGAAATCAGCTGATTAATTTTACCATGTTCCTTGGAGACTGGTCATGACTATTCTCTCTGGTTTCAAGAAGAGGATAAGAGATCAGACCTCAGAGGGTATGACTAGGAACAATGGGATTAAGTTGTAGAAAGGCAGATAAAGACTTGGTATAAGGGAAAACACCCCAGTAGAGCCAGCCCAAAGTGGAATGGGCTGCCTTGGGAGCTAGTGAGCTCCCCCTTCCCCAGGAGATTTCAAACATGGACAGCCAGGTGTCAAGCACGTTGTAGAAGAGACTCTTTTTCAGGTACAGTTAGGACTACATGGCCTCTGTTATTCCTTCCGACTCTGAGATTACATGATCTTTTGAACTCTGGATTACCAATGTATCATCACAGCTTACACTTACATCTACACAGAGAAATGATAACAGAAAAACTAAGCCAAAGCTAGAAGTAATCCTGCCCTCAAGGAAAGAGCTAGGAAGTTATCATGTCTAATTAATTTATACTAACATAGCTTCTTCCATTCCTCTGACCCCATAAAGAGTACCTTTAGTTAGGGATGGGAAAAAAAAACAAAATGAAGACAATCCTCTTCTAAATGCTCTTTTCTCTTTCAAACCATAGCTCTCATACTTTAGAGTGGGATGTTGAAGGCAAATGTGGAATGTGGAGTGGTGGAGTTGAGGATCTTGTCCATTCAGGTGCATGAAAAACACATGATGATCACAGACTAAAATGAAAATACCCTACATGGAAATAGGGCATAAAGATGATCTTTTTATTAAGAATCCACATGTACAAAGTAATGAGAAAAAAGAAAACAATGCTTATATTACTTTGGATTCACTTAGGCTGTATAAATGGATATCAGTTTACTTGGTTCTTAATTAAAAATCAAACATCTAAGTTTTATTTTTGTCTACATGACATCAAATGACCATTTTAACTGATCTTTGTTTTTTTAGTGAGCTGATTATTTGGCAGAACTGGCCTAATTGAATGGTTATTCTGATAATGTTGAGAGAAAGCATTAGAATGGTCAAGTTTCTGAGCTGGATTGCATTAGGTAATTTAAAAATCACAGACATTATCTGAAAACTTAGTTTCTGAGTTGTTAAAAACAACAACTGAGAGAAATCTAGTTATGCATGCTCAGAGAAATTATTGCATTTGAGAAACTGTACCCAATAATCTATTCTAGTTGCTTAAATGGGTCATACCTCAGCTGTAATAGGAATTAAAACAGGTACTCGAATCATAGGATTGGGAACAAGGCAGTAAATGGATGGAAAACAGAAAGTTAAAAAAAAGAAAGTAGATGATAGGGTAGAGATAGAAAGAAGAACTGATTATGGTACTGGCATACTTTGTATTTTCAAAAATACACAGCAAAGACATGTCTGTCCTTGATTAGTGAGGGTTTGGAGAAAACATTCTATATTTCTATTTTTACAACATTAATATTGTTGTGTATTCATAGAGAGAGTCTCCCTACTGATGAAATCACAACTCTGGATAAATCCATATGTATTTGTGTATGTCTGCATATATATTCATGTGTGTACACATATGTGTGTTTGTAGTAGAGGGAGTTGATCAGATGACTCATAATCAACTAATCCCCCTCTATTCCCCTCAGCCCAGTGGATGAAATCACAGAATATAAGGGAATAGGCAACAACAACAACAACAAAAATACTGCATTAGGTTTAGATAAAAAAGAAAGAAATCAGTCAAGTTTGATGAAATTAGAGGGCAATTTTATTACCCCTTTATAAACAAAGAAGAAATCTTCAAACTTCATGCAATTACAGGGCAACTAACAAGTCTGACCACTATGTCCAAAAAGTTGAACATATCTTTGGTGGTCCTTTAAAAAAAAATCTAGACACAATTGCTAAGCAGTTGATGGAAGTAGGCTATGGCTCTGAAGGGTGTGACTCTTGGCAGCAGAGAAGAGAGCCAACTGCAGAGGAATAAGCCAACTCTTAAGAGGAAATCACTCTTAGCCTTTCTCCTTGCTCCTCTCCGAGAAGGGAGTAGGAGATTAAAGGAATTCTTTCCCTTTTCCCAATATTCCATCAGCCATGACATCTTGCAGTGAAACTGCACTGTACCCAGAGGGAGTAGGCCTCAGGAGTCCCACTGAGGAACCTGCACAGAAAATACTTTGAACAGGGTAGAGCTGTGTGAGGACACAATAGGAAGAGAAAGGTTCACCTAGGCCTTATAATAACAGAAATGCTTCAGCCATGTGTGCTTCCATACCAGTATATTCCAAGTTTGTGCCTCCTTTTTCCATTGACTATACATTTGTGGAAGAGTTTGCCCTAGGGTTACAGGAAACTTTTTGGTACTATTGTTATTACAAAGTTGTATTAGTCAATGTCTGTGTTTTAAGTTAATTGTCGTCAATGTCTAACTATTAAAGCTAAGTCTGTTGATGAAGATAATGAGCTGTAGTTTTTAAGCAGACCCAAAAAGCATCTTGAATCTAGAGTAGAAGTCATCCATTGGAGACTCAATCTATAACCTTTGAAAGATGAATTGGGGAAATGTCCCAGATATCATATTATATATACTCTAGTTATATATATAATGTTATATGTTATATGCATACTCCAATAGTATATGTAATATTATATATATATATATCTTAAGAAGATATACAGAAAATATGTAATTTAATATCTGGGCTATAATATATATCTGGGTTATAATGCATATTATATTATATATTATTTTCATTATTATGTTAAATATTGTAGCCCAACAAATATATATTGTATGTAATGAACAAAAAATATGTGTGGGCTGTTTTACACACACACACACACACACACACACACACACACACGTAATATCTGGGCTATTTATTTCTAACTAGCTAGCTAATATTGGTCTATCTCCCCAGTTCAGCTCTTGAAGGTTCTAGGTTGTATCTCCAGTAGGTGACTTCAACCTCACATTCAAAATACTCTGTGAGGATAGATAGATAGAATAAGATAAAGCTATAGATAGAGTATATATGTTTGCATATATAATAACATTTAAGTACAATTATTAGGCATGATGAAGTTGCAAAGATTTGCTTTTCATTCTAATAATTAATAAGTTCATCAGAGTGAACTCACCTAATATCATTAGATGTTGAATAGTGATGATGACGACAGATGGAATTTATAGCACTTATAAAGAATGAAACGATATAGATAGATAGATAAAATTTGATCTTCACAAAAACCCATTGAGTTTGTTTTGTTTTGTAGACTGTTATATCCATTTTAAGAAAGAAGAAATGGAGTCAGGGAGATTAGTGATTTTTCATACAATTAATATCTAAGACAGGATACATGTATGGATATATACACATATATACATTGTAGTAGATATTAATTTATTTCATATTTTCTCCCCTGATAGAATGTTAGTTCTTTGAAAGGAGGAGCTATTTCTTTTTCTCTTCTCTTTTTCTCCTCTTTTTGGTATCCCAAACACCTAGCCAAGTACATGGTACATAAGATTCTCTGAATCAATGATTGTTAGTCAACAAGTAATTATCAACGAATTAATCACTGATTAACTCCATTTGTTCCAGACCCCAAGTTTGGCACTTAATCTATTATCTCAAACTTCCTGTCTACTGAGTAGTGATGGTGATGGTGATGGTGGAGGTATGGTGACCAAGGTTGAGCCAAGGAAAATAAACAAAATAAAAGCAAACAAACAATTCATCTCCCCCCTCCACCTCCCCACCCCAGATCTCCCTGTGCCTATTCCCTCAGGTTATGCGGCCTTCATCATGGATAATGATTTCACCAAGGAAAGGAAAGATATAAAACCCACTGGAACATCTGGCACATCTGGCTCATGTATTTTTTAGTAGCCTTCCCACTTCCCAGCAATCAGAGCCCATTACTCCAGATGGATCCACAGGAAAGGCACAGAAAACACTCACGTAGTTCTTCACCAAATCTGGATGAGTCCTTTCGATGCCATCATCCAAGATAGTGACCACAACATCTCTTCCAGTGTAACCTCTCTTCCAAGCCCCTTCAATGTTCATATCTGACTGACAGGGGTGAGTGTTATCACTGCAGTGCTAAAGGGAAAAAAGAGAAAAAAAAAAGAATTGGTCTATGGAGATTACTAAAGAGTAAGAAGGAAAAAGGAATTAACCTACTTCTTAGCATAAGGTGTCTAATTAACAACAGCTGAGGGGATTGATTGGTAGAGACCATACATAGATCAGTGTATCAATATCTTCATGAAGTTAGAAAGGTGAGGAAGGGGAAACAAAGCCCAAATGAAAGGGAAATTGCTTCCAGGAGATGGTTTCTTCTGGGATTTCTTTCCATGGATGCAGGACGTTAGAAAAAGAGTACTATCAAGCTAAACCTTTGGCAGAAGAATAACAGAAAGCATGCCTGAGCAAAGGTGGTGCAGTGGATAGAGTGCCAGGCCTGGAGTCAAGGAAGACTCATCTTCGTGACTTCAAGTCGGGTCTCAGACACTTACTAGCTGCGTGATCCTGGGCAAATCACTTCACCCTTTTTGCCTTAGTTTTCTGATCAGTAAAATGAGCTGGAGAAGGAAATGCAAACCACTTCAGTGTCTTTGCCAAGAAGACCCCAAATGGGGTCACTAAGAGTTGGACACAACTGAAACGACTGAACAACAACAAATATCTGAGCAAAGGAACTATGAGTAGATCTGATATTTCAACTGAACATCTACTACTACATGCAGAATGAATAGATAGGCACCTGTAGCACAATCCTCTCTGGACCAAAATCAGATGACAAATAAAACTTTGATCATTTCTATCCTGGGCTCCTGGCAACTAGTTCAGAATCATTTCTATCTATAAAAGACAGTTTTTGGCAGGTTTCATTCAGTATCAGCAGGAGATGTGCTACTGTTAAAAAACCATATAGCCAGGAGAACAAAAAGTCTCTCTAAAATGCGTTCAGTGAATCGTGGACAGCTGCAGCCCCCTGATTTGTGAGTACAGAAGCAGAGATAGATTCACTCCAGGGATAAGATTGCAGGAATAAAGGCAGAAGGCAAAAGGGTAATGTAACCTGGATGATGGGAATCTAAGGGAGGCAAAGGGTAATCTGTAAACATTCAATTTTAGAGGCTATATAACCATACTAGTTTGCCATAGACCTATAAGAAAAATAAACAGGTCTGGGATCCTTGTGCCATCATGCGCTCGCTCCAACACAAACAACTGTGTCCTAGGAGTCTATCCCTTTCAAATAGCCATCCAAGGTTGCTATTTTCTTGGTTCTTTAGGGACAAAAAGGTTTTTTTTGGGGGGGAGTAGGATGAAGGAAAGAAAGAAATGAGGAAAGAGAGAGAGATGCTGTAAAATAATAACCACAGCAACACTAACCACACTCAAGCTTTTGCAATTCAATCTCTCATTCATTTTCATAATAGTTCAATGCTTTAGCAGGCAAAAAGCATGCAAATAGAATCACTCTGGGAACCTCTTTCCTATTTATCTCCACTACAACCCTCTCCACACGCACTTTCTGTGTGTGACACAATCAGGCCCAATGGTAGACCTTCTGTGAGTTTTCTTGATGGTTCCTATGATAAGTGTTTTGTTTTTTTTTTTGTGAGGCAATTGGGGTTAAGTGACTTGCCCAGAGTCACACAGCTAGTGAGTGTTATGTGTCTGAGGCAGAATTTGAACTCAGGTCTTCCTGACTTCAGGGCCAGTGCTCTATCCTAGCGCCACCTAGCTGCCCATTGGTTTTTTGTTTGTTTGTTTGGTTGGTTTTTTTTGATGTTATACATAAAGATTTCCTCCACAAACTCTTACTCTGATGCAGCCTTGTAGAGTGGAGGTGACCCCCTTGAACGTTATGACAGCTGAGCACAGGTTCTGGTAGGTCTTATCATGCCGGGAAACCTGTGATTACAGTCTTGGTAGAAGATGATGCCTACTTTCCATGGATCAAGCTAGTTAAGAACAGGGAAGCTAATTAACAGTGGACACCATTTCTTCTAAATGTGAGTTCTCTGTCCAGTGACCACGGGGACCTGCTATTGAAGGAAATAAGCCAAATTGATCTTGACAATCTAACTATCAATGAAATCAGATAACAAAAAGAAGTTGCAGCTAAACAGAAGGGATGCCTGACAGGCACTCCTTGGAGACACAAGTGGTAGAGTTGGGTTTAGTGTGTGTCTAGAGGCAATAAAAAAACATTTAATGAAATTTCAGGGCTTATCAGAGACATTTGAAAAAAATTGAAGTGAAAATAATTATCCTATTTCACAGCCTTACAAGCTTTGTTCTTAAGAACCGGTAGGAGAAATCATGCTTCCTCCAACCCCCAAATATCCATCCCCAACTTCTTTGCAGAGGTAGGAGTTGTTTATCCTTCCCTCTCAAAGGGGACCATGACATCAGGGAGGTGATGCCATGACATGCATTCTTTCTCTCTCACTCTCTGTCTCTCTCTCTCTCTCTTTCCTATCTACTTCCACTACATTCCCCTGCACATCCACTTTCTGTGCATGAGATAATCAGACCCAAAGGTAAACCGTCTCTGAATTTTCTTGATAGTTCCTATAACAAGTGCTTTTTCTTGGACATTGTACATAAAGAAGGAGGGACGTACTAGAAAATGTAGGTCTTATAAAAACAAATGATAACAATAAATTATTTTTTAAAAACAAATCAATAAAATAATTATACCTTACACACTAAAATCTGCTGCAGAGGATATGACACAGATTTGAAACTCTTCACTTACTTTTCTAGGTACATATTGGTTGGTTGTTGTCCTTCGTACTCGAAAAGGATAAAAATGACATTACTATGTTGGGGTCAAGGTACAGTACGTCTGATTGTGGCTGATCAGACCAACATGAGTTTGGAGGGTTCTACCACAAATCAGGCACGAATAGTCCATATGTCCATTTGGAGTAGAGATGTCTCTAAATTTGCTCATCTCACATTTCTTCTGAGCTACTGTGGTAGTAGGCACATGTATGTACACATATATGAATGTATATATGTGCATGTTCACCATGTATACACACATATGGCATCTCCAAAGTTTCATTGCATTTTCAAGCTTATATATGTACATGCATATATGTTTATGTATATAAACGTATATGCATATATATTTCTCATTCTACCATCTAGTTAAACTGACCATATCTTAAATATTTAAACATGAATAGGAAATGAAGGCATGATACTATCCATTAAGTAGAACTACATAAAGGAGGAAGAATAACTTTACACTGAAAACTTCTTGCTGAATTGTTATTATTATTAATAGTTGGCATTTATATAGTGATTTAAGATTTGCAAAGAGCTTTACAAATATTATCTCATTTGATCCTCACAACAATCCTGGGAAGTAAGTGCTACTATTATCCACACTTATAATTGAGGAAACTGATGCAACAGAGGTTAAAGTGATTTTTCCAGATTGACACAGCTATTAAGTGTCTGACACTGGATTTGAACTCAGGTTTCCCTGACTCCATGTCCAGTGCTCTAGCCACTGAGCCACCTAGCTATCAGAGACAAATCACTTTTGCTTCTTATTTTTCAGTTGTATCTACACATAGAGAAACATGAGTCCTGTTAAAAGATTATGATGTTCACTGTATTTAAAAAAGTCTCTCAAAAAATGTACTTTCATTGATCAAATGAAATGAATGATTAATTAATTACTCACAAGGAGAATAACAGTTGAATCTGTAATTCTTCGATGGAGGAAACTTTCTTTCCCAATGCAGGTTAGTAACTTTTCTTCCACTTATACTCCCTAGAACACCCTGCTAGCTGAAGTAATTTGCCTAGGGTTACAAAGCCAGTATTTTCCAAAGGCAGGACCTGACCAAGGTCATCTTGGTTCTGAAGCCAGGTCTCTCTATCCACTGTTCCAAGATGACTCTCATGGTTAACAAATAATAATTATTTATAAGTCAGTCCGAGGCCCTAGGACATACTCAGGGACTTTTCAAACATAGTAAAAGTCAATCACATTGCTCTCACTAAAAATATCAATACTCAGTGGGAATTACTTTTTTGCATTGTTATTAAGCAAATTTTTTTTAAATTTAAAAATTAATTATTTCATCTTTATCTCATCCTTCTTAATGTTTATTTTGTCTATTTTTATATATGTAATAGATTGATAAAGGAATGCATCATGTAATTTACATATAAATTAATATGCATATATTAGGGGTGCTCAAAAGTTTTTTTTAATATTTCAATTATGTTATCATAAGAAATTGGAGATAATTGGCCTAGACTATGTTATACATTTTGACAGACAATCCACAAAGCTGGTTCATCAATAAGTGTATCTGGCATAGAAATTAGACATGATGACAACGAGCTGGGCCCTAAATTGAAAAGCAGGATGAGATTATATTGGGAAATTATTGCTGGTTCCATCTTTATTTATTTTTGTGCATCTCTTCTCATGTACATAATACATTAGTAAAAAATATATATATATACGAATTTTTTAGAACAGGGTCCTAGGCCCAGGCCTGGGAGGGTTGTGAGGGACGACACATGAATGTTTGCTAAATCCATTTCCATGCTTGAATAATGGAAAGCCCTGCTCTCTACTTGGGAACAAGTATGGGCATTCTCCTCCTAGTTCAAGTGTTCGTGGGTGTCCTTTGATTGGCTGTTGAGTTGGAATGGAAGTAGTGCTATAGACATGATCAGAGAGCTACATTATAGAAATGGAGGTGAGCTGGTCACATAGTAAGAATGAGGGATTGCCAGTGTGCGGCCTGCATACGCTACACAACATCAAGGGATTGAGAACAAGGTTCCCAGAGCAAATAAATATGGACAACAGTCACCCAGGGTGAGAAGGCATGAATAAATTGCCACATGCACCATTGGAAGACGGACTCACATCAATGACATAGATTAATGTGTATATACAATATATATGTGCAGTTTCAGAAGGCTACAGGGAAAGTAAGCAAATTAAGGTTAGTTAAGTTTAGAGTTTTAATTTTTAACTACAATGACCACTGGTCTCACACAAGAGTTAGGTGCTTTTAATGAATGTTCCATCTTCAGTCTTTCCT